GCCCACAGCCCTCCAGCAGCACCAGGGAAGACAACGTGGAGGAGGAGCTTCCTGTCCCCTCAACCGCTGCCCTTGGTGAAGGTCCCAGCCAGCCTCCATCCATCCCGGCTCCATTGCGCACCGACCAAGCAGCAGCCCAGGAGGAGCCGGGGGAGGCAGTGCCAGGTCCCTCCGGCACCAGCAGGGCCACGCAGCGCTCACGCAGGGCGCCTCGGCGAGCTCCGAAGAGGAGGGCCCGCAACTCTGAGGCCTCTGCACCTCCTGCCAAGAGGCCACCCCGCCGGCAGCACTAGGACACCGCCCCAGCAGCTGGCGAGAACAGGGCCGGGCCTGCAGCTGGGGCACAGCCAACAACGGGTTGGAAGGGACCTCAAAGATCACGGATCTCCAACCCCCCCGCCACAGGCAGGGCCACCAACCTCCACATGTAACACCGGACCAGGCTGCCCGAGGCCCCATCCAACTTGGCCTTGAACACCTCCCGGGACGGGGCATCCACAGCTTCTCTGGGCAGCCTCACCGCTCTGCCTGTGAAGAACTTCCCCCCGACATCCAACCTGAACCTTCCCTCCCTCACCTTCAGACCATTTCCCCTTGTCACTGCTAGTTTGCCTTCTGATGTTGCAAACAGGAGCTCCATTTGTTCTAGCTGTTGCAAGGTTGGAGCCTGATATCACAAAAGAAAATAGGAAGAAATAGCTTGTTTTACACTGACCTGTGTCACTGGACAACAATGTTCGCTTCCAACTGTGAGTATGATGACAACTGGCTTTGCACTGAGACTGAACAGTCATGGCTCACATTACCAAAACATCAATTTAATGACCCTGCAGCTGTCAATAAAACCACTTAAGTAGGAGAAGGGATCTGTATCACTCATCGCTCACTCAATGTTAACATTTTGCCTGCTATTAATCACCTTTAATAAATGGTATTAGTTAACTATCAGTAATAACAGTACCAACAACACATTTCCACAGTGAGAGGTTCATACAACTACTGTGCCAAAATCCACTCTTCTATGGGTTGCTAAAATAAAAAAGAATTATTTTCCTCCTCTTTTATATAGACAAATACACGGACTGAGAAAAAAGAAGGAAAGCATACTCTGAAGACAGTGGAGTTTAATACAAATCCAGAGCCAAAATAACAGTGGAATCATGCTGTTAAGGAAAAGTTACTGTATGACAAAAAAAATTAGTGCAGGGTATCATAATGGCAAAGTTGCCGAGCAACAATTTAATCACTACCACCACAAGCTGAAGAAATTACCGCATTCTTCTTACTGAACCGAGGATGCGTACAACTGTCCAGATTTCCACTCCATCCGTAGATGTAAGTAAAACTAAACAGCAGCCATTTACATGTTTTCCCCACCATTGTGGCCCTAATGTTCAAGACCTCAAGACTGCTGTTGTATTTTCCACTCCTTCCAAGTAGCATCTCTATAAAAATTAGCTGAGACGAACAGTGTCACGTAAGGGTAATTAGAAACACAGGTACCTTTCCATACAACGTGGCCAGATGCGGAACTGTAACATTTACCATGTGGTGGAACCAAGTAATTGTGTGAAACAGGATACAGGAACTCTGAAATCCAGCTTACAAGTCCGGATGCACAAAACACATACAAAATGTATGGTTAGTGGGACAGCATTGTTTGAAATTTCAGAGTGCAAGGAAAGATAACATCTTCCAGCACTGGAAAAATCCAGTCCATCAGAGGAAGGAATGTTCCACCTAATGTAGAACAGGTGAAAATATGGAGACAGAAAGAACTCACTTTATGGCTCAAACTTCCTGCATAATTCATGCCACCCACAGAATTCATGCAGACTTGCTTTTATAATGAATGGTCAATTTTATCTGCCTCAGACACTGCAAAATATTTCAAGCTACCAGGACTTTTTGAAATTGCAGTGACAAAAATAGACCACCACAGTACCTGTAAGTTTTGTAGGCAGAGGCTCTGAGATGAGATGCTAGCATTTGGAGAAAGGTTTTTGTTTAATACTAAGTATACCAATGTAGTTTGGTAGCATCATGATTGTTGCTTAGAATACAGAGCGCTGGAGCACCTTATTACCCTGTTGAAATAATAACTAGGTTTTTGCAGATGACAGACTGTAGTTCATGCAAGGAGACTGACTTTCCCCATAGGTGCAAGTTCCCAAATACATTTTTCTGACCATTTCCCACAACTTTCCCCAAATTTTTCCACATCCCATCCGTTATTTCCTTTATTCCTGCACCTCTTTCTATCTGAGCCACACAAGGATGGCTAACACCACTAGTCTGAAGTAGGAATCCACCAGCTTCTTTCTGCCACAGGTTTGTCGGATTAAGACAGAAATGATGTACACTTTGGCTCTGTAACTGAGAATAACACAACTCTTCTACCTGTTCCCCAGAACAAGCTATGACTAACTTGATCTACATAAAACAGATGACAAGAAGTACAGAGTGGAAAGGATAAATCCTTCACATTTGTGTCAATTCAGTATGGTTATGACATTGACGGCAAGTTAGGTACAATTTTCCTAAAAACAAAAACAAAAACAAAAAACAAACAAACCAAAAAACAGCCACTGATGTTCAGTAATGTCCTCATTTCTACTTATATATAATATAGGTAGAAATATATAATATATAATATATATATAATATATAATTCCATTATAGCTCAGACTGAAGAACTAGCGAACTATCTATTAATGTATCAGCTTGCTAAAGTTGCAGCTATGGAGGCAGTCCTAACTGTCAAGGACCATTACTCCAAGCTTCAGAGACACCCACACCATTGAAGGGAACCAGGCAATAATGCTTGGAGGTCTGAGTGAACCAACAAGGATTTCTGGGCACAGTCAAATAAAAAAAATACAGGGGGCGGAAGCACAGACACATAACCTTGGAGTTATATTGAAATACTTTATTTCTATCTCACAAAAAGCAATAGTGTTTGCAGTACACATGCCTTTCAAATCAGTGCTGGTAATATGCAAAAACATTTCTCTGAAATATGAAGAAAATCAGCTTTTTCTCCCTTTACAAATGAAACAGATGACTTTGCATATTTTATATATCTATACGTACACACGCACACATACAGTATTTGAATCCCCATTTGAAGGCAGGTATTTTACAACCTGCAGTTTACCACTCACAGTTCAGACACCTGTGAATTGACATTGGCTTGTATATTTCTACAGTGTTTAAAACACAAAGAGCAACCCTTTACAAGTACCTACACTACATAGCATTTCAAATGAACTCAAGATATTTTTCAGGGATACCTAACTTAACCTTGACTTAACAAAGACAGGACTCAGTTCTCATTGTAGAAAGTTGTTTTATGCCATATATTCAAAACTCTCCTAGTCTCCAAATCTTGGAACAGAAAATCTATGCTTCATTTTTAAGAAATCCATTCAAATTGGATTGTTTAAATCCATTCAAGCTAGTATGTTTTTTAACAGCTGTATCTTTAAGATTGTGTTATGATTTGTTTTTGTGCCACCATTACTAATTCAGAAAAGATACCTGTCTCCTGTTCTGGATCAAAGTTGAATTATCACATATAAAAATCAATATCTCTATTACAACAGCAGGTTGAAATAGCACAGCAAAATTAAAGATTTAAATTCTTCAGCAATATGACCTGAGTTTAATATGGTAAATATATTTTTTTTCTAGAAACCACGTGACTCCATGCCTTGAAGAGTAGCAAAAATTTTTGAACATTTAGTAGCATCTTGATGAAAGCGATAAGCACAAATATTACTATTCAAAATCATTGTATGTACGCACTTTACTGTAAATGTCAAACAATGAATGTTCAGCGTGTGGCCGAGCATACTACGTGACTCAAGGATCGGAGTTGTGTGAGGAGCTAAAATGCACATGACTGAACCCAGCAAGTGCATTCAAGTGAGAATGGTCACTGAGGCAGCATTAATAGAATTTCAGAGTGCAAACAAAGACACCATCTTCCAGGAAAGCAAAGGAAGGATAGTACAGTCTGTGTCATAAAATGGAATGTTCTACCAAAGGGAGAACAGGTGAAAGATAGACTCAAAATGTTTGCTTAAAAAGAATTCTAAAAGTTACACCTCCAGTATCTGCTGGCCACCAAGATGAAGTAGTTAGTTGCACCATCTGTTTCCTCCAAGCTCACTCTTACAACACATGTACAATCAGTTTCTAAAGCTTCAAGATCTAAAATTTCTTCTCCCAGTGGTAGACAGTATCCTTCTACACCTTCTCAGTGCCAAGCCCAACAACTAATATAGATTTAACAGCCCAAGCAAGCTGGCTCTCAATCAAGTAAGGGATTTCCATAGATGAGTGGATAAGAAGGAAGTTTAAGGATTAATCTTGACAGCAATGTAATAACTGGGAGTTGCTGTGACATTATTTTCAAAACGTTTACGTACGTGGCAGTTCCATAATTGGAAAATCTGTACGCTGAAGTACAGTTTTTATCATACTTAAAGGACACAACAAAAGCCAACACTGCTCAGTTGTTCTCCCCCCACCATACCTCACTGACCCACAAAACGATCTGTATGACAAGGCAGCACCCTCAGAAATGATATTCTGCTTCCCCATCAGCTCAGAGTTGAATTGTGCTCAGAGAATCGAGCCTCATCAGCCTCTAAGACCTCAGCTGGCTCCTAAAGGAGAACAGGGTGTTTACGCTGTCTGGCATATTGCTTCAATTACAAGCTGTAAGGCACAACAATCATCTCTATGATCAGTTACACAGAAAAAAACTATGCCTATTCTAAACTTCTTCATTCCATATGTTACCATCTTCTCATACATTAGGAGTCTTATGATCTGTCCTACATAATTTGCACTTTTTCCATCTCTAAATTAAAAAAAAAAAAAAAAAAAGGAGGTGATCTGGCAGAGGGATCAAACCTTTCTCCAGGGCTCAAATGCTTGTTTGCACTTTTCCTGGTAGGCAATTTTTACATCAGAAAAATATTTTGTTTTACTTATAGAAGTAAAAAATATTTATATGCATATTTGATTTTCACCACAGTAAGTTCTTAAAAGTCCACTCACCAGGAATACCACCACTGAGGATACTGGAAAGTAACAAAACAACCAGTGCATAATGGCTTCAAGGACAGTAATTGATGCAGTCCAGCCAAATACAAACTGTGCAATCCCTATGTATTAAACACCATCATTTCACACTGCAGGAAATGATGCAGCGTCAGCACAGCTTTGCACGGTAAAGCTCTTCTACTGCAAAGTAAGAGTGTCCTAAGATGTACAGAAAACATCAGCTCTGCAATTTTAGCTAGAAAATACTATGGAAATTAAGTAAAGTGTTGCTGCTGGCTACAATATGTTTTTCATTTGACCAGAAGCCAAAGAAAATTCAAAGAACTAGTAAGTTTTCATTCTCTGCAGCAAGGCTTGGCAGATGTGACTCTTAAAGGGCAATTCATTGCTCATGCCTTTGCCATTCTAACCCTCATCAGTTTCCAATAATCTCAAAAACAGAGGAGTGTATTTAAGAACTTCACTTGAAAGAAAGACTCCAGTACAACTTTTAATGAATTTATAGACTACATGACATAAAATGATATCAAATCCTATGAAACTGACATACTAAAAGTATTGTTTATTTTTCAAAAAATAGTAAAATAAAAATTGAGAAATCCCTCCAAAATCTCTTTGATCTTCCACACTCTCTTGATACAGTTTACATTCAGCTGCATGCAATTTCCTTGCATAGAGCTAATTATCAGTACACCATCTGAATAAAATGTCAAAAAAAATCCTACAGCAGAAATCAGGAAGAAGAGGGAATTCTCCTCCAGTTTCCATTTGAAATTTATATGCCTCAGTACCAATCAGAGCTGAAGAAAAAGAAGTTTGATAGGATAGAAAAGTGAAAGCATTTAACATTGAGAAGGGTCTGCAAAACAAAACTAAGTACACACAAATATACAAATATGGAGATAATATTTATGCAGAAAGCACAGAGATTTAAAATAAATGAAGAAAACTACAAGACATGATAGCTGGCTAAAAAAAAAAAAACATAATTAATTACAAATCTAATTGCATAACTTGTATGGAAGTAGAATGGCATGACCTACTTTCAGTGCTCAAACCACCAATCCCTTCTGAAGTACCTGTGAAAATTGTTCATTTCTGGGCCTTTTGGGCAAACATTCGTTTGTACACTCTCAAAGCTAACATTCTTTCTGATAACTTCAAGGTTAGAACTGCAAATGTTACTTTTAATGTGAGCTGATGAAAAAATGAGAGATTTCTTTTCTAGGAAAGAACTTCTCATTCTGAAAGGATGGGAAAAATACAGCATGGTTTAAGCAAGTCATAGCTTATTATTTCTGCTAATTAACTGTACAGCCAATGCTGCAATTTCATAAATTAAAGCCTTCAGTTTGAGTTACCTGTGACAAATTCTCACTGTTATCTTCTTCAGAATTTACTGGTAATTAAATTTGTTTTGTTCGAATTCAATTTCTGTTAGCACTTTCACAGCAGTTTATAACTGATCATTTAATTGGCTTGTAATAAGATAACAGGTGAATCTGCTTGCAAGAATCCACAAAAGGTGCATCAATAGTGAAATTTGAACATTTGAAAACATCATCACATCTCCACATAAACAAGTATGCTTAATCTTCTATGTGTTGTATTTATATGTGATGCCTCAAAAATGGCCTTTTTCACTGCTTTTGAAAGACAGACAGAATGCACAACTGGTATTCTGCCTTTCCAATGTGGTACATCTCTGCTTTTAGATCCCCTTCTTTTATAGAATTTGCAGATTTGTCTCACAAGGTTTTTCACAACAGTGTAAGAAGAAACCATTAAAATCTAAATGAGAAGATTTCTAGATGTTAAAACAAGAAACAGTGTACACAATTTGTCCTGCAATATAGGAGGTAACAAGCAAGGGAAAAAAAAGGTATAAACTTATCCAAATGAAGTGGCTGGCACATACTGACTAATTGCAGAAACTCTGAAACAAGTAATGAAATCAAACAGTCAAAGGTGGAGAAATCAGTAGTCACTTTAACAGATGAACTAGCCTGCAGCCACTTTCAATGGTAGTTTTGTGCAGTTGCTCACAGATAATACAGCAACATCAGTTATGGTTCAGTCCACTAATAGGTATCTTAAGTATGGTTCTGTTGCAAAACAGGTTCTTTAATTTCTGTGGAACTATCTGCATTTTTACATTTAAAAAAAATTATTAATTTCCACTGATGAGAAACTGGCACACGACTCCAAATTAAGGGTGTAAGTTTCAAATATCAAAATTATGTATCATCACTCATGGAAATGTTTGGTCTACAGATGAAAACAGTTTCAGAATAAATACTTAATCCTGCACATAAATGCTTCAAGGGAAATCAAATTTTATGTGAGACATGCCCTGAGCTTTCTAGACTCTCTAATAGTGCAAACAATGTTGCAGCAATGCCTGGTTTCATCCTGGCTTTTGCAAAAGAAACGGAGCAAACGTCCACAGATTTCTAATGGCTGGCACACTACAACATTATGTGTGCTACAGCCATTCCTGTAGCTTTGCTAAGTTAGTCTCCATCCACTGGATATTAAGCTGAATTGTGTCAATTGCCTCTTTTACACAACGCAGTTTAGAGCTCTCTTCTGATTTTGACTCAAAAAATGTTTTCACCTGCATAACAAGAGAAAAGAAAATCTTAATTAAAATCAATGCTGGCCAAACAAATAGGTTCAGAAACAAAGGCTACATGCATATGTCAGAATTTGTATCAAGCCAAATTCTCAGAGCTGGCTTCCCAAAATGTAAGACAAACATATTTTACAGGAACTGCAGTAATTATAGAATGGATTGAGTTGGTAGGATCTTTAAAGACCATCTAGATCCAACCACCTCCCATGGTAGGGCTGCTGTCTGGTTTCAGTAAATTAGTTTACCAATAAACAGATATTCACTCATTACATTAAATACTGAGCCATCACAAAGCACTCCAAGTCCTAGAAAAATGTTTTGCTTTCTAAAAAATAACTATTTGTTTTGAGAGACTCACTTCAGTCCTCTGGAATGACCCCCCACCTCCATTCAATATTACACCTATCAATGGTTACACTTGAAATATGACAGGTCAAATCACAAGCAGCTATCTCTGTCCAATTTTCTGAACGAAAACATTAGCATAAACCTTAAACTACTTTTAACACATGAACTTCAGGACACTGCTAGGGAACCCTGTCTTGGAGATTTCTAATGAACATTAACTGGATACTGAACATCCAAAACAGCTCTTCGGGATTGCTGACAGTTAAAACAATGTAAAGCAATCCTTATGGCTCTGAACACATTCCACAGAAAAGAAAAGCACAGACTATTCACAAGGTCTAGACCAAAGCCTCTCCTATCAGGACAGTCTGAAAGAGCTAGGGCTGTTCAGTCTGGAGAAGAGAAGGCTGTGATCTGATAGCGGCCTTTCAGTGTCTAAAGGGAAGCTACAGGAAAGAAGGGGACTTGTTAGCAGGGTCTGTGGCAACAGAGCAAGGGGAAATGGCTTCAAACTCAAGGAGGGTAGATTTAGTTTAGGATATAAGGAAAAAGCCTCTTACAGTAAAAGCGGTGAGACACTGGAACAGGCTGCCCAGTGTTGTGCTGGATGTCTAGTCCCAGGAGACTTTCAAGGGGAGGCTGGTTAAAGCCCTGGACAGCCTGATCCAGCTGTGGTGTCCCTGTTCATTGCAGGGGAGCTGAACTAGATGGCCCTCAAAGGTCCCTTCTAACCCAAATGATTCTATCATAAATTTTTTTATCACTATTTTGGGAGACAGAGCATTCAAACCAACAGGAAACCAAAGCAATATAAACAGAAAGCTGTACTTGACTGTATGCCAACTCTGCCAAAATTCAAAATGTTCAGCATGTTTCTGTATACATTTCTTATGTATGACATGGGGATAGAAATAGCTGTATATCCTTGTAAAGGGACTTCATCACAGTAGACAACACATGCTTTCCCCATCCTCCAAATAACCAAAGACAGCACTGGCTCTAAAAAATATTATTTTCTGTTTAATTAAATCACCAACCTCAAGTAGATGCACCTTTGTTGCAAACTGGGAAGTTGATGAGCTAATGATATTCTGGATAGTGTATGAGCCTAGATGAAACCTGAAATACAAAGAAGAAAAAAAATGAGAAGCCACTTTATCACACAGTTTGTGTATGCACACGAACTTCTTATTTTTTTTAGTTTGTTTGTTTCACTAGAAATCACTAGAGAGAATTAAATTCAAGTTTACATACCTACTCTTTTTAAAAACAGATACAGGGTCTTACAAATCTAATCCTCAGGACATTTAAAGTCTCTAAAAATTGAAACTTCAAAGCCATGGAAATTTTTCAAGCTTCTATGAACAGTAAAAGCTGAAGACATTGAACAGCAACATCAGTATTTGTGGTACACATTCAAAAACAATTAAGTTCACCTCCAGAACTAATTTTGAATCAAGTAGTTTTGTAATACTGATTATTAATTAATCCTGCTTGCTAAAGCATGAATTTTCATCTGGAATGAGCCTTTTTAGCAACACAAAAACGTTACAGATCACAGCTAGAACACAGAAATACAATTTTCCATGTAACTGTCAGCTTATGGAAGATTTGCAGACCAGCTCTCCAGCTGGGTATCCCTTAAGGTCAGTTATGGAGAAAATACATTTCTAAAACAAGCGGTGTTTTTTGGTTTTGAGATTACCGTAGCAAGACGGAATAAATAAAAGATGAATTAATTCCCTGGATCTGCTTCTGAATGTCTTTCACCACATAGGTATCCTACATAACCATCACAGAAGGTATGCTTTTAACAGAAATTCAAATCAAGACCATCTAGAATAACTAACAGGTTCTAGGTGTCTCCAAAGTCTCATCAACTACTAGTGAGATAAAAAGACACATTTTCCAAGTATTTTTGTAAAATCAGATTTTAAAGCAGGCATTAAAATTCCAATATAGATATTCTTATATGAAGCAAACTACTTATTCACTGGGACATAATAAGAGCTATCCTCTTGCCAATGGGACTGTGCATTTCAGCTACATCAAAAGCCTTACTTCCGTGTAAGTTTTTCCCAGTTCTCTTTGACAAAGTCCCAGGCCAGCAAGTGTCCAGGCAAACTGTGGCTAATAGTTGCTATGATATGTGAAAGCTCCTGTGTCCTGATGACTTCTCCTTCAAGGCTGTTCTGCATTAACCTAAAACACAAAGTATATGAAAAGGGGCAGGAAAAGAAATCTTGTGTTTTCACATGGTTCTCCAGATACTTGTGAATTAGAAGGACAAGATCATGTAACCGAAAAAATAACAAGCAATTTCTAGCATCTGGAGCATAGTGACGCTACATTCTATATGCACCGTTATTCATTTCACTTGAGTTCTCATGAACTGAATGACCTCCGCTCTAATCCAAGTACCTGAGTTTTCACTGGTGTTGAGGTGAAGTAAATTTGCACAACTCGTAAAATAAAAGATAATTCACTGATAAGTTAAAAGAGAATAGTTGTAACTGGAGTCACCTACCAGGACATGTTTAGTGTCCCCCTCACATAATAATGAGATTTAAACTTTAAAGAGGTATGGGAGCATGGTGTAAGGCCAGAGAAAGAACAAAAAGACCCAAAAAGTTATTGCCTTGGTTAATAAGATGTAAATAGAACAATCTGCCATTTGTGTTACCATTACCACAAAAACCTGAAGTTCCTTTACTACTGCTACAAAGCTTTTGAGTTCAATTGTTTCCTTTGTACGTATTTCACCTTGACCTACTCCATCATATAAATTATTTTGGAGTGAATAATAGTATGTTCTTCTTTTTACAGAATCCTGTAGAAAACATCTAGCTAGATTTTATTTAATACATACAATTTTTTTTTTAATGAAAAAAAAAAGAAAAGATTCTATCACTTAATTTACACAACACAGAACTTATTGTCTATTTCATACCACATCATCTTTCTGACATCTTCTGTGTTGGCCAAAGCTTCAATCATTTTGCTTTTCTCTGCTTCAGGAACTGAAGAGGAGTACATCTTTAGGAGGAATTCCCAGCCATCATTAGTTTTGGCTCCAGTTATAAATATGGTTTTCATAAGGTCACTAGGAAGACTACAGGGAAAAAACAAAACAAAACAAGCAAACCAAAAAAAAAAAAAAAAGAGGGAGGACAAAAATGCTCATCTGAGAAAAGAAGGAAAAAAAGTTACAAAATGAAAAGATTAGCTTGAAAGAGATCCCTCTCATTTCTGCAGTTTATTTCCATAGCACTCGTATGCTTGCTGGACACAAGAATTCATGCCATTCTACTACTTTAACTCACTTGGAATAAGCCATATGATAACACAGCAAATGGCACAAAAATCAGAGTCATTTTCTATGGCACAAAACACACAAAAACCCAGAGTAGAATGAGTTCTGCAAGACAAAAGGGTACACTTCACACTGCTAGTGAAGTATGAGTATGCAGCTTAAGAAACACATGGATGCAATCTGCGTATGTTTTTGCAGTTATCCTCAGTAAGACTTCAGACAAAATTTTGAAATCTAGCACAGTTTGCCCCCTCATGTTAAAAGCGCAACTAATTTTGGACAAGCAACAGTGAATGACAGAATGAAGTGCCCTCAAATGGCAGGGTAACAAGAAGAGGTAGATAAAGCAGTGAAAGCCGAATGGCTTTAGTACCTCATTGTTCCATTTGATTTCATCCACTTATCAAAGATCTCAGATGCATTTTTTCTACAGTTTCTTATATCATGGGTGCACGCAAAAGTTAGCAGCATTGACCGGAGTTCTCGTTCAGATAACGTCCCATCATCTGTCCAGCGCTGCTGATCAATTTTATTGCCAAGCAGGCGTTCTATTCTGTTCTAAAGGAGGAAAAATCATTAGCAACAGCTAATTCTTACCAAAGGATTTTCCACAAACCAAATCAGTTAAAAAAAAAAAGAAAAAGAAAAAATAGTTTTACAACTGTGGAGGTTAAGCATAGTGGTTTTTCTCAAATACTTCAGATATGACATAGATCTCATACACAGTCCAGTCTACATCTAATGTTAAATATGCAAATTGAACTCTATTCCTCAAGCTACTACAGTTCAAACTCATAGCCACATTGTGATCTCAACTAATTACAGCTTCTGTATGTTTAACTGCTTTTAACTCCATCAAGTGACAGAAGAGCTCCTTAGTTTAGCACAAACAACAAAGCTTTATCTACAGCATGAACCTCTTCTGTTCCTAGTTTTGTACTGTTAGCTAGGTGCTCCACCAAATGCCTCATCAGCTGAGATATCCAAATGTAAATTATTATCATCTAATAGACACCATGGGTTGTTTTTCAGAGCAGATAACGAGATAACAAGAACTGAACCTAACATCTTCATTTTACTGCTATGTCTGTAACACTGCATTATGCTAACCTATCTCTTGGCTGGAATGAGTGAATGATGACCATTTGCTCATTTGTATTTTTTCAGAAAATAGTATTACCTTTATCCCCCCTGAAGCTTCTATATCAATTTGATCTGTGATGTCCAGATACAACAATTGTGGAAATAGCCTTTCTGTACTAGAAATTGTCACAGGTTCTGCACTATCTTAACCTTCATAGACCCTGTTATAATTTCCCAGATTCCACTACCTTACCAGACCTACAAAAAACTGGGGGGGGGAAAAAGTCACAACAGAAAATTTAGCACTGCAGTAGATCACTGCTACCTCACAGAAGTTGCTAAGACTGAGAACAAATCCCAGTTTAGCTTGATGAGTCTAGTGAATTCAACAGTCAACTCTAATTTAACTATAAACATTACAAAAAATTATTTCAAACTACAATTAGCAGAAAACTAGGACATACCATGACACGTGCTGCCAATTGTTGTTCTCCCCTTTTCTCTAGAAGGCTGAAAATAAGACCCAGCTGAAACAAAGCTTGAGTGAGAGGTGCAGAGCTGCTCTCCTCCTCAAGGTAATCGATCAGCTCAAAGGCCTTTTTCAGAGACTCTCTTCCTAGACTGCCGGTCAATGAACAGAACATTGAAGTGGTTTAGGTGATAACATCTGTACTGGCCAAGTTACAATAACCTGCATTACACTAACACAGTAACAGGTGAGTAGAAAGAGTAATGCTTTAGATGTAAACGTTTTTGTATTACAACATCAGCAAGAAGATAGTGACACTAACTTTACATTAACGTCTTCAATTAACATAAACTGAAATAGGTAGAAAGGTATAAAAATGACATCCCAAAAATATTTATCATAAATGAGGGTACTCAACTAAAGGAAAGTGTTATCCAAGAGATCTTCTAGATCATTCAGCCTCACTACAAATAGTGCCAGCAGTGAAAGAGCAGGGGATCAGCTTTCAAATAAAAACTTGAAAGGCAAACCCCTTGCTTGTCTATGGAGAAGTATTTATTGACAGAATACAGAAAAAAAAACCCAGCAGACTAGCAGACAACTAAAGAAAATAATGTCTTCCAGTAACGGAAGCAATCATGTACCTCTGGGATGCAAATAAATGGATACTGCTCTAAGAAAGAAAGAAACAATGAAAAACAGAGAGATGACATCTCAAACCAATATGGAAGAATCAGTGAAAAAATAATTAAAAAAAAATAGTGAACAGTATACAGTTTTAAGAAGCTAATGGAGACTGAATAAAAACTTCTTTAAAGCAGCCATCACCACAACCCAGATCTGATTCAACTTGGAAAAACCTAAAATTCGTATTAATTATGTTTTCCAATATGAAAGTCTTACCTTGCAAGGCTGAAAATATTGTTGATCAAATTGGCTCTGTCTTTAGCGCTTAAAGAAGTGTGGTTTTTTTTCAACAGATCAATCAGTGTTTCCCAGTCTTCATCATAATTTACTATGTAATAACCATTCATGTCTACATTGAATTTTATCCATTCCACCTCTTCTGGAAGTTCAATGGTAGCTAATGGACAGACAACCAGTTAGCAGCAGACACTAAGACATAGCATTTGTTCTTTCAAATTCAAATGTTAAAAAAAAAACAGTTAAGTCTCCATTGGTATCTGCAGCCCTTACTAGTTAAGAGAGATTTGCTGCCAGCACTCCTTTCTATAACCCAGTCCCAATCTCTCATACATAATTACCAGTGACACATTACACAAAAACACTGACAATTAGGGATGACATTAAGGTGGATGAAAGGACACAATCTAGTTTCAAAGTCAACTAGACACAAAAAAGGAAAACTTACGGGAAATGGGAAAAAAAGTTCTGTAATTCAATTAATTCTGTAATTATTGTCCAAGTCCTCAACCTGCAGAGCAAATGTAATGTCCTTCAAGCTTAGTAAACATTCTACTCCAAACTCTTTTATATGCCTCTCCTTCTCTTATATCCTACACATCCAAATTTCTACAGTATGATGAAGATGAGATCACCAACAGGGACATTTGAAATCAGGCTACTTATGTTATTAATTATAATAAGATTCACATTCAATTGAACAACTTTGTTTTTCCATTCTGATAGTTCACAAGGACTCTTTCTAAACATCCAGGTCAAATTAAAAAGTTTAGGAATAATTGAGGGCTTTGTAAAGGCAACATCAGAATGACACTAACAACATACTTATTTCCAGTTTTTATAACATTTCTGAAGTCACCTCTGAGGGCTGGAAATTTTGTAAAATACAGTAAACAGCAAACATCAAAGATCAGCTCTACATATCTGATTTTTATTTTCTACATTTTTATTTTAAATAGTAGAGGCAGGAGATAGATTTATGAATTAAATGTAATTGCAAGGTAAATACAATGTATGAAAAATTTAATCAAGAAAAAACGTTTCTTCACTGAGATGATGTAAAACAGTGAGGAAGAGTCACTTAAAATGCAAAAAATTATTGATGTCAGTGGAACATGGAGATATATGAAGTGATTTTAGCAAAATTCTACATGATACTGTAAGCAAATATTCACGTGGTATGGAGAAAAGCAGGTGTGAATTAAAACAACAACACAATGACATGAAATTTAAGTGTCAAAGTAGCTAATACAGCAAAAGCAGAGTACTTATCTGAAAAGATCATAGTTTCAAGTTTTACAAAAGCTTTCTCAAAAACTTAATCTCTTCCAGATGGAATATATTCTTGTAACAAGAAACAAAGTAAATAATATTTGAGCTGAAAATAACTCCTCCAGATTTCAACACACAGGCAGAGCAACTCTAATTGTGTTCGTTCCCTCAAGGATAAGTAGCTCAAGACAGTTTGGGCATGCATTAGGATAAGAAGAGAACAAGATTCAACAAATTCCAGACCTGTGTTTCTGTCCATGTTGTTTTCAGTTCTTTAACAACATGCTTTGACGACAGAACTCACTGTGCTTTAATCTGGGTCTCTGCAATTATTTTGTACTCTATGGGTCTTCATCTTTGCATCCTATGCTCAGAAAGGTCAGTAATCTGTAATACTTAAATTAAAATAGCTTCCAAAGTTTTGAGTCATACCTGATTTCTGGTCCAGTAAATATGCATTAATGCAATGGGTAAAGTTGCACCTGTTAGTCGTGTAGGTGAGAGGAATATCCCAGAGATAACTACAAAGAGAAGCATATGTGGAGTACAATTTATTATTTGTCTTGAAGGTTACTGTGTTTCGGTTTTTTAATTTAAGCATTTAATACATTAAAATTACACTGCATGTTGCATAAAGTATAAATAACATTCATATAATCTGAATATGATAGAAAAAAACACATACATCTTTTAAAAAAAATTATTACTCCTATCATGTTGAGATTTCCTACTACTTAATTCCAGCATTGGAGAAGTAATGTGGACAGAAAATCTTCAGCTGTATCAGAAATTCAACCAGTACTATTTTCAATTCAGTCTAGTGTTTTCCTGTTTCATTAAAAACAAACGAACTACGAAAAATCCAACAAAACAATTCAGGTTGATTCAAATGCAAGACTCAGGTTTCAAATCATGGTAACAGAAACCATAACTGACTGCACATCACCAGTACTGACCCAAGTGAACTGCAACCTGGACGAATAAATGCTAACTTGCTTCATAAAGATGACTGGGACTTGTTTATGTAGAGAAAATGTAACTTTAAGTGAGGCAAAACAAATTGTAGATACACATTTGATGGGGGCCCTTCCGTGAATGACTCGCATGGAGCACTCATCAAAAACCTTCCATGCACTTCACAAACTGATATCTGCCAGATGCAGAATGACAATTAAGCCTAACAATCCTTCCCTTCCAACTATATACTGTTTTCCTTCTTCCTCTCCAAAAAAAACAAAACACAGCCCTGTAACTTTCAGCATCTGAAGAGACAAATTCCTTCCATGGGTTTGACTGTGGAAGAAGATGCAAAGGATTCAGTTCTTATTAAGACTTCACATAACTGCGTAAAATCACCAAAATCTCTAAAAGGATTCTAGCTTATGATATTATATTTTGTTAGAAAATACAGGTAAGTTTCACAATGTAAGACATTTTTGCAAAGGAAGCCCACAGAATATTAACAGTTGCTTAGGTAGAAATAGGCATAGATCATCAATTATTTTTCCAGTTAAGATATTAGATGTACATGCCGTGCTAAATTATCTTATTATCTCATTAATAATCGTATTATTGTTATTATTATGTTATTATTATTGTAAGAATGCCAGAAGGCCTCCTTGGATCAACAAGGAGCTCCTGGACTTCGGCACAAAAAGAAATATAGGGAGTGGAAGCGGGAATGGGTTACCGTTATCGGTATTCCACATCACAACATCATGTAGTGCACAGAGTTAAAAGAGTCAATGCTGCAGTTCTGGGCATCTGTCCCAGAAGAGAAGAACTACATACCCCAGAGGACTTTGTGTTCAGAGAGGAGATATAACCCCTGGCAAGATCACCTGATGTCCACTTTTCCCTTTTCAATTGTCAGGCTCTCCTCTCTGCTGCTCGTCCCAACTGCATGCCCTGTCTCCGCATTAGTATAAGGCTTTTCAGTTTGTTTTTTTTTAAACACACTTTCTCTAATTTAATTTTATTTATTAGCTCCAATTTTAACTATATAGTATTATATTGTATTATAGTGAGTTATCTTGCATTTCAGTATCTTATTTAGTAAATTAGTTTGTTTTTCCTCAGATTGCTGCTGCTGTTTTGTTTTGGGGCCCACCTCTCTACCCTTTTTCCCTCACCCCTCCACCCTGTCACAGAACAGGGCCAAATCAGCCCATAAACAATTGACAGACCCTCAACACAAGGACTCAAGCTGTGGAAAAAGTCCAGAGGAGTGCCTCAAAGATGATCACAGGGCTATGAGGACAAGCTGAGAGAGTTGGAGCTCTTCAGCCTGGAGAAGAGAAGGCTTAAGGGCAACCTTAGAATGGCCCCTCCAACACCTGAAGGAGGCCTACAGGAAAGCTGAACATGGACTTTTTATAAGAGTATACAGTGACAGGACAAAGGGAAATGGCTTTATCTAGAAGAGGGCAGATTTAGACTAGATATTAGGAAACTATTCTTTACTATGAGGGTACTGAGACACTGGAAGAGGTTGCCCAGAGAGGTCGCGGATGTCCCCTCCAAGGAGGTGCCCAAAGCCAGGCTGGATGGGGGCTTTGAGCAGGGAAATGTCCCTGCCTATAGCAGGGGGTTGGAACTAGGTGTTCGAAAGGTCCCTTCCAACCCAAACCATTCTGTGATTCTATTTTCTCGAGTAGTAAAAACATAGAGCCCAAAAACACAAATAAGAAAGGTGCAAGACGAAAGATATCTGCAAATAGATTTTAATGGATAGAAAGTAGTAAGAAGGTAATTACCTCGTGTCTGATGTCCAATTATCTGGTTCTACACGATATGAAAATTTTTCCTGATGTAATGAGATGACCTTTCCTTTTCGGTTAACAGTCACTAAAGGAAATCCTTTATGCAGAATCCAAGTTTTCATTAACTTTTTTACATCTAGTGTTCCATTGGTGATCTGAAAAAAAAAACCAAAAAACCTAAAAAACGTAACAAGAACATGGCAAAACAGGAATACAAGTTTCCAAACCTCTCTGTTTAACTTGCCAAGATGCACTACTCTATAGTGCTTTGACACTGAGTGTGTATATTTCACAAGCAACAATCTAGAGGAAAAGATCATTTTATTTTCTGAAGTAGAATAAATCCTAAACAGTAATGAAAAGAGAAATTGGAATCTTCAGATAGAAAAACTGGTATGCTGAGAAAATAGGGACAAGAACATTACAGAAAAGAAAGTTAAGGAAGACCTCTAGACCTTAGTTGCTGCCCCCACTTGCCCTGACACTGTAATTGATATTAGCAAAGATGATCATCCAACCCGAAAAAGACAATACGACCTCTAACTCACAACAGTACATTTTAAGTGGAGCTAATAGGAAGAAAATTAATGTGTCATTGTGGAAGCATTACACACCTTCCACCAATTCTTGTTGTCTCTTTGTCTGGGTACCCTCATCAGTATCTTACTGCTCACCTTATGAATGTCTATTCACACCAACATTCAGCATTTTCTTGTTATAAGCCAGAAAAGAGGAGGCTGAGAAGGAGCCTCGATGACAACAAATACTTGAAGGGAGAGTGTGAAGAGGACAAAGCCAGGCTCTTTTGCATGGGGCACAGAGTAAGGACAGAAGGCAGTGGGTATAAACTGGCACACGGGAGCTTTCTTTCCTCTGAACACCAAGCAGCACTTCTGCACTATGTAGGTGGCAAAGCACTGGCAGAGGTTGCCCAGAGAGGCGGTTGAGTCTTCTCCTTGGAGATCTCCAAAAGCCACCTAGACATGGTCCTGGGCAACCTGCTCTAGGTGCCCCTACTAGAGCGGGGGGAGGAGTAGTGGACCCAGAACTCCCTTTCAACCTCAGCCCATCTGTGAAAGCAATGTGAGGTCTAGAATGTCTAGATCTTACTGTTATCCAACTGTCTGAGTAGAAATGGGAGAGAATCTGAAAGACTACTTAAAAAAGGAAGAGAAAATCACAATTCAAGGTGCAAAAAGAAAAATATGCAGAGAAACAGAACACCGTAACAATGGAAATGAATACAGAGATAGTACATTTCAGTAAATTCAAAGATGGTACTTCTCAGGGAAGCAACACATAAAAGGCCCAGCTGTAAACAAACTCACTGCAATACTGGACTAGTCAAGCTAAACACTGAGCCTTCCAAAAAGAGACACATCAGTGAGTGTACATGATATGCAGGCTAAGACAAAACACAAAATTAACAGTATTAACACATACTTACAGAAAAAAAAAATTGTAAAAAAAAAAAACCCACATCACAGGAAGGCACCTTCTGGCAGATAAAGCTAGCAGTATGAACTTGGTAACTATTAAATAAGCCCCAGATACAAAGGTTTGTTTGTCATTTAAGTAAGGAATACACACTCCAGTTCTAAGGTGAGATGTAACTAAGCTGGTTGGAGGCAATTTACTTAACAATATTAATAGAGGCAGATAAAGCAATCCCAGCATGTTAATAATTAGTTTTGACTCTTAAAGATGACGACTGAGTTTCAACAGGCTGAAGAGTGAGGCCTGCTGAGTTCACAGAAAAGCTAAAGTTGCCCCAAAGACAAACAGCAGGCTATAACAAAACAAAGACTAAAACTGAGTTATTGTTGGAGGCACAGATACAGACTAAGAGAGAAATCTTAACATCTTGAGAATGGCCCCTCTTCCATGCTGGAAAAGCAGTGAAGCTCTGCCTCACACAGATCAGATGCAAAGCATCTGTTGGGGTCACTCCATGCGCTATTGCCCACCTCACAGAGTACTCGCTACGTTTTCCACCATGTGTAACAAAGAGCTCTGTTCTCTTCCTGTAACTGAGCATCTTGAAGCCAAGATATCCAGCAACTTGCTCCTGCTGGGATCCCTTCTTTTGCTGCTGTGAATCAGCATTTTCTCTCCTTTGTCAGGTCCTCTCTCCCTTGCCAGGCATAGCCACCTTCCTGCCCTCCAGTTCCAGAGTGGCAGAACTTGGCTACCCAACAATCCTGCTTTCCTACAGCCCCAGCTCTACTTGCAGAAACAGACACTGCCATCGACACAAAGTTACACAAGGACAGAGCACTCCAAGAAGCAAATATTTACAGACAGACTCAGGATTCAGATCCTTTATGAAAGAAAAGTTTTGTCCTACATTTAAGATGACTAATTTTAGTCTGGCTATAATACACTAACAGTGTATCTCTAGAGAGAGAGTGTGTGTATATATATATATATATATATATATACATACACACACACACACACACATATATATACACACAATGCTGAGTTTTCTGTAGGGTGGATATGGCAGTGCATACCCACTTACAGCACCCCTTTGGGATACCAGTAAATGGAGTCCTAAAAGATACAGCACTTTCTGTATTTATACGACCGGAGTGTGCTGCATCTCTTGATCTGGTTTTAGACTGTGTGTGAGCACAGCTTCCCTCTGTGCTTCTCGGAAGTGAACAAGGAAGGTCTTTGCAGACAGCGGCTCTAACCCACAACGTGCTGTGAGGCATGAAGGAGCTGAACTGTGTAAGCAGAAGCAAAACTTGCAGTGGGAATTCCTCATGTGTCACTCATAGCTCATTGCTGGGCCCAGCATCCCAGCCCAGCAGTGAGCAGGGGAGTGCCTCTGGACAAAGCCTCAACCAGAAGCACCACCAGACAGAACTATGATAAGCAAGAGTATTTATTTGCAGCATATTGTCTTATCTCTTTCATAAACAAGTATATAACCCAAAATGCACAGCGCAATCTGAGAAGTGAAAAACAAAATACAAAAGCATAGTAATAAAGATGAGTACCTCATTCATGCTGTCCCACAAGTCATCACTCTGAGCAGATCCATACTTGTGATTATGCAAATATATCTCAACGCCAGCTTGAAAAACATCTTTAGTGAGATAATGCTTCAGCATCATCAGAAGTGAAGCTCCCTTTGGAGAGGAAAAAAAAAAAAGGTAAATTACAGTTACAGAAATCATTGAAGAATAGGCACACAATAGCTCATCCATAGCACACACACACAAAAAAAAAATCATAAAATGGCATGTTTTATCCCAAATTTTATTTTTCATTTAATCCCAAAATTTATTTTATCATCAGAATAATTATCTTAGCACACAGCTACTTTGGAATAATATTTTTGAATACTTCATAAACTTCAAATACAGTCACAAATATGTCTAATATCATTTGAATTTTTTCCCAGTTACTTTGGAAAAATAAGTATTTTTGTGTATCTCAAAGGCTCCACACACAGTTACAAAGCAGGCAGTAATACTACTTTTTCCCTCCAATTTATTCCATCTACAAAATATCATTTTCTAATTGACAAGTCTCTGCAGGCTGACATACTTCATTATCAATGCATGGTAGTGCATGTACTTCTGCATGGTAGTGAAATGTACTTGTAAGACAGTGTTTGACATCTGTATGACTTTCATCTGTATCAAAAGCTCCCTGACAGCTGAGCAGTTCCAGTTTCCGAGTAGACAGGAATGTTAGATGTAAAGTTGTTTTTGTTATTTTAGACACATCACAACCATTAATAATAATAATTATCAGAGGACTTGCACACTGGACTGCTAAATGTAAATTAGCAGCCATACATCATGAAAAGGTAACGGTGCACTAATGGTACATTTTAGAGTAAGGATCAACAAACATTAAAAGGCAGATTTTCTTGAGGACATGTATAGTTTTGTCATACTCTAAATTCTAGTCTGGGAATTCAAGTAACATCTTGCCTGAATGTGAAGGTTGTCTGAACTCTGTTGATCTAATTATTCACTGAACTGTAGGAATACCCCTCACTACCAGCTTTAAAACATGGTCATTATTTTGTCTCTAGCAAAAGTCCATACTTAAGTTCTACTTCTTTGTATTGCTGTCAAACAGTTCCAAGACTGCTGCTGTAGTAGGTGGACTCTTGTCCCACTGACACATTATTGATAATCTTTAAAACAACCAGGCTGTTATAATTTTGCACATCAATTTCTACTTCAAACAATAAAATACATCTGTGTCAGACTGTAGGACAGCAATACAGTAGAACAAAGCATCTTGTGTAACACAGTAACAGCCACACCCATAAGGCTGCAAACTATAACACTACAAATGTCTTCCAATTCCAAGTGCCAAGAGCATTAGCAAAGTAAGGCACAAGGCCAAGAGCACTGGAATACAAAGACTATCTTACAGTAAGCAGCAGCGTTCCCTGGTTTCTTACTAGACAAAAAAGTACAAGCACATACAGATACATGGTGCTGAAAAAATAACAGCTAATCCAAAAGAGACATTAAGCTTTCCACCTGAAATACTAGTAGAACGGACACAATACATAGGACCTAAGATATCTAAGACACAGTAAGTAAAAAAATTCAACAAAGAAAGGTATTTGCTCTCTCCAAGTAAGGCACTGTGAAGCTTTTAAAAAAGGAAAAGGAAAGGGAGAAGGGAGAAAGGGCAAAGGGAAAAAGAAGAAACTTCTCACATATTTCTCACTACAAATTAGAAATGGATATAATCTAGTTGAAGAAAAACAGCGTACGACAAACTCAAGTCTCCAGTTCTGCATGTCCCTAAAATGCTGATTTAAAAAAGCAAGCTGCATAAGAAAGAAAACATAGTGCCTTTTTCTCACGCTTTTCTATAAAGCCTGCTATCAGAAACAGGATATATGTGCAGCTGGTCATTTGTCTCACCCACTAGGTCCCTTCTCACACCTTCATAACTTAACTCTGTACTGAAACAAGCACCACACAGAAGCGTGTTGAGTAAGCACAAACCATTTTTTTTCTTCCCCTCATTAAAAGCTGGTAGCTCATAAACAGCACTGAAAGGTACCAGAGGTAGCCCCAAATGACTGCCTGTACCGTACTGTCTACTTACACATAATCCTATATTCATGCTTACAATAGCTAATACATCACTTTCTAATTATTTCTACATATGTTTTATGTTACCTTGATGTAAGAGAGTGCATCAAACATTTCTTCAATTTGCTCTGATGACTGGACAGCAGAAGAGACTGGATGTGAAGAATTCAAGGAATCCTTCATCATAGCCTTGAATATTAGATTCAGGAAATCTTCATCCTAGAAGATGAACTTTTTTTTAGTGTCTGAGAAGCTGGAACATACACAAGTACAATAGTAAAACTCATCTTTGCCTCAGTCTTCCCATAGTCTGATATAGCACTGCTCGCCTTTCAGAGGAGGCAACAATAGATGTGTCAGAATCTGCATTCATGATATCTGCTCTTCTCCTGACATATTTCAGCAGTAGAATCTACCTCCACCATTTAATCATCATCCAGACCCTTAAGCGCTCATCTCAGTAATGTATATACAGCACTACTGAAAACAAATGTACCTAATAAACAAGTAATTATGTGCTCTATTTCAGATTTTGCTTAACAATGTTTTCAGTTCATTTCCAGGAAAGAAAATAGAAAAACATGATTTCTGTAGAATATTTTAATGTTTAAAAGTCTAAAGTCTAACAAAATTACAAATAACAATGATGCTGCAACGTAAACATCTTACCACAGGATCCTAGTACCAAAGTCTTCCTTCCTTCCTTCTAGATGAAGGATATTTGAATTTAATACACTGTTAGCATAATGGAACAACCCCAAAAGCTAACTTTTAAACTACTTCTAAATAAGCTGACTGCATTAATATTTATCCATTTCATTTCTTTATGACTTCACCAAACAATTATCTGTACAGTTTCTGTACAGAAGGAGTGGATCTTAATGACTTTCTGGAAAAATAGAAAAGACTTATATAATGAGATAACCAAGATATCCTTTATGGTTGAACACTTAAAGCTATTCTCTTTGAGTGGAGAATTTGGAGTGAATTTTGTGTTCAACAAAACACTTTTTTGGCACCACCAAGTGTGGAACAACATGGGCAAAGGCACCCTGTCAGACACCTCTCAGAAAAAACTACTCCAACAGTAAATGGGATCTTCTTAAAACAGTAGCCTAGGCTTTTTTGGCCCTCCTTTCAACACCTGCATGCCCTAAAAGCAGAACAGCTTTGGAAACATGCTTCTGGTGGTCGTCAAACACAACAACCAAGCTAGGTCAAATAAAAAAAAAAATTAAACACTGAGTTCCAAAACATAAATCTACTGAACCAAGTTAGGAACCCAAGCTTCTTAATGCACTAACAATGGTGAATTAAGTACACAGAACTCACACCTAGTTACAGGATACTGACAAGGACACAACCCTGCAAGCAGAAAACAATCTGTACCAGTCAGGTTTTTAATCCTGTGACTAATGCAAATTACAAAAGTGCTCCTGGAAGTGAAATCTGGAGCCCTAATATCTTCTCTCCTCTGAAATACCCTTGCCCAGGATGAAGAGTTTCTCCACTGGCCCCTCGATGTAGTTCCATCAGTCTTCATTTCTCTGCCTGCATTCAGTGACAGGAATGCTCTAGTGACGTAGCTTCTAATCATCTCCTCGGTGAGGAAATAATAAATCCCTCATGCTTTCCAGAGCCTCAGAAATTATGTCACTCAGTTCCTGAGCAAGTTGCTAAATCATCATCAGGTTATTACACCAAAAAGATTCCTCCTCCTTTGGCCATGCGTGTGAAGACAAACGCCTTTGGGAGCAGTGCTCTGTACTATTGGTGTAATGCAATGATATCTGAATCCACTGGGTGGGGCCACAATATATTTTTAAACCAGATCCTCTAATTTGTGAATCCCAAACTAATTCAGACATAAGCAGTTACCATAATGATAGAAAGACAGGACTGATGCTGAGTATACTTAGTAACCACAAGCTCCAGAGCTGCCAAGGCCCATGGAGAATGACAATACCAGCCAACAATGTACCTTCAGAATAAAGACTGTAAATTAGTATTTGATACATATATACATCTACTGCCTTTGACAGCTGACATTTTGCAGAACATTTTTAACCTACATATAACACAGGCACGCTAATACCAAAATAAAAAAGGGCCACATAATAAAAAGAAAGACAAAAACAAAAAACAATTCTAATATAATGAAATATAGTGTGAAACTGGAGATACAAGTGGTACTCAAAGTGAACTTCAAATTATCAGACCTTTATAGTCAGCACGAAAAAAATACATCTTACTAATGGTGTAGTAAGTGTAGTTACAGAAAGTACTTACTGAATGTAATTCTGGAAAAACCTCCTCCATCACGAAGTACTCCATGAAAGTGGCAAATCCTTCATTCAGCCAGAGATCATTCCACCACTCCATAGTTACTAGATTGCCAAACCACTATGAAAGATCAATAGCATAATTATTTTTCTGAAACAAAACCCAGTGAGTATAGTGACACTCCACCCATCCTCAACTTTATTTTGTGGCAAAAGTTTCCTTACAATATCAGTAATGCTTTTGCATGAACAACTCTGTAAGTATAGCTCCACTGTATACCACTACAAAATCTCACCACATCTAAATAATGACCTCTGAAATCTACCTGATGGGCAAGTTCATGAGCTATCACTGCAGTTATTAGCTTTTTATCCCTTGCAGAAGAAGCATTATTGTCAAACAAGAGTGCTGTTTCTCGGAAGGTGATCAAGCCCCAGTTTTCCATTGCACCAGACTGAAAATCAGGAATTGCTACAAGATCTGCAAAAGATTTGAAAGAAATTGTTGAAAACAGCTAGAGTTAAAGCAGCTCTCTATTTCAAGTCTGTCTATTCTACTCCATAATCCATAAAAAAACCTCATTATTTAAATTCTGCGGTGCAAGCATGTGCTGGCATTTCAAGACCAGAGGCTCTACGGATTTCTAGCCACATTTATTCAGCATTATTTCATACAAACAACTTAAAGCACTACACAGACACTGCCTATAGATACACAAGCAAACAGGAAACACAGCTGACACTTCTGAAGGCAACATGATTCAAAGACTGAGAATTTTCCATTTTCCTATCAAAGCTCATTACAATGAACTACTTCTTTCACGTCACACAAAACTGTAAGTAACCCAGTGTCAAAAGATTACAAATATTTTCTGGCTTGCAATTCAATTAATGTTTGCAATTCAATAATGTAAACTATATTATGAATTCTTAAAACAATTTTAAAGCAACTTTATTTCAAAGATATTTGATAATCTTTTTTTAAAAGGAAAAATACAGACATTTCAGAGAAATTAACATTCTCCTTCACTTTTCAGAATTTATTAGGGTTTCTTTTTACACTTAAAAAAGTTCAAAAGAACTTACCTAATTTTTCAAGAGGGTAATCTATTAAAAAGTACTTTTCATAAAATTCTAGAAGTTTCACTGTTGTGTTTAGAGCATACTCTGCTTGGTTTATATGCTGCGGTACAGCATGGACAGATACCTAGACCAAACAGACAAAGTAAAGATTTTGAAACTGAACAGCTATAAAGAAACTCACATAAATTCAAGAGGTCAGAACTTACTGAAATAGATACAACAGTTGCAGGTTACAATAAGTGGTTATAAAGCTGTTCTCACAGATCAGATTTCCTTGCTAGAGTTTATTCACTAGTCAAAGTATACAGACCATCCAAATGACTTATGTGTATACAAGAACAGGTCAAGGCTGAACACCTTTAAGGAATATACTCAGGAAGAGTCTGCACAAACAGAAATTGATCCATTCTTCCCTTTTATTCTATTAACTGGTCCTTCTTGCATACTTCAATGAATCTATAAGTTAGGCTATCAGTATGAAAACACCAGAATCATCTGCAATAAATTTTCTCCATAGATAATAATTGCAAAAAAATTCATGCAATGCCATATCTCATGTATGAGTATCTTCGATTTAGTGCAAAAAAACATTCACAAAAATTGACTGGTTACTGTCTCCCATTCATGTCAAGGTGACATAAAAAATTTTCATTAGGATACACATTAATCCTGGCTTAGGATGCCCATGCATAAGAAGCACAAAAGGTGTCGAGAGCAGTTTTGCTTCTTACAGTCTCCAATCTTGCCAATAGAATAATTCACCAGCTGCACTCTGGCCTGACCTGGTATTATCATTTTTATGCTTTCCCTCATGAAGCTGGTAAGTACTATATGCCGCTAGACTTGGTGTCTTCTAAAGCTCTGCTAAGACTTCCTTAGCTTAGCTAAATCTTGCTTGGTCAGAATAAAAATAAGCACAGAGAAGAATCACCCTCCCTCTGTCTGAATACATCATTCATTCTTTCTCCTCTCCACGTACTTTGCCTATCATAAAATACTTATAAAATATTTATAATCTAACATCCATTATGAAAAAAGGAAAGCATACCACACACAGTTGTTTCAGGCTCTCTGCAAACATGAAACATTGAGTGTAGTGACCAACTTCCTTCCTCCCTAGTAAAGAACTGGCTACACTTGCCAAAACAAATTTCAACCACAGAGCTGAACAGAAGTCACAAGGAAAAAAAAAAAAAAAAAAAAAAAAAAAAAAGAGAAATTTTTCAAGCTAGATCAAATGAAGTCTGTCCTATTCAGATATAGTTTGAAATACTTGTCCAAACTAGAATGAAATCCTACGGAATAGCATGTTTTACATCTGTATATTAGAGAAATATGTATCATGACGTTGCTTCACTGGCCTACACTGGTAACACTTCTTAGTACTGCTAACAATTCTAAGTACTGCTTTTGAAAAGGGCTTCTTATCCCATTAGGACGCTACTGCTCCCTGTGCGATGCTGCTCCTTCTCGGCACTAAGTAGGCGCTGACACTTCCAACATTTGACCACAAATGGGCAGTTCCTGCTACAGTCATGAAAATTACTGCTTACACAAAACCCCTGGAGTAACTAATGAACATTTCCTAGAACTATCATGTTCCTTATTTAGTTACTTAAATTGCACACTGTAGAAACTGCTCAGTGATCTTAGGCTATATCTACAAAGAGCAAACAGCATGCAGTCTTCCTTTAGAAACTGTACTGTTCCTATTCATCCTCTGACCAGCTCATAGTTGTATGCATGAATTGCATACGGTCATTAAAAGCATTCAAGCAATAAAACTAAACATCTAAAGCTTCCAATTAAGGAAGCTTCAAGGAGTTTTACATTTTCTGAATATCTGCTGCTATTATGATGAGATCCACGCTGTAGAAGTCTTCTCAATCTGACATAAATCCAGAAATAGTTCAATCTGCAGCATATGGTCACTGTCTACCACCTTTGATAAGCACAATGAAACCAAATAAATAAATAAATGGGAGAGGGAGAGAGTCACCCTTTATTGTGGAAAGTTTGTGCTTGCTCACTGATTTTTCCATCTGTTATCGTTTTATTTGGATGGACAGGGAGAGGGTGAAGGACGACTTAAAAACAGAATAAACGTACCAGACTCCCATTAGTTTCCATACTGATGTTTTTCAAGTCTGCAACTACAAAGGCTACCAGGTAGGTGCTCATCTTCAAACTCACAAAAAATTCATCCTGAACAATTCCCTTTGTCACAGGAGTAGTGGCTTTCTGCAAATAAAAGAAAAATATTAACACAAAGAAAAAAATAAAATAAATAAAAGAATTACTTTCAGGTAAATAAGAACAGTTTATAAGCAAACTTACAGAATATATTTATATTTCAGTTATGTTTCATTGGAACAGAAAAGGCCTATGGCCTTCTCATGGTATAATAAAGCATGAGAAGCTTGGAACACTTTAATCCTATATACCCTCAAATTACTCAATAAGCTTTTAATATGAAGTATTACCAGACTAACTTGCTGGAGACACCCTGTATCTCATTTAGTTCACACAAAGCCCCTAGTTTAAGCTCCTAATTCAACAGAAAGATTAGTATTAATCCACAAGAGCTTTAGGCTGGAGACACTGTTCAGTATAGCCTGCTAAAAATACAGGCACTGCATGAATTAAATATTTGTCTCTTCCTACAAATCCCCTCAAAATTAGGTAAGTAGACACATTCATTATTAAAAACAAAGAAATAAAACACAATATTCGCCTTTAGCCTTCTCACTCACAAACTGGAAGATTTCATTTGAGAAAGTGAAGACACCTTCTGAAACTTCCTAAGTACCTTTGTTTCCAGAAACAATCACAGAATCACAGAATCACAGAATCACCCGGGTTGGAAGGGACCTCAAGGATCATGTAGTTCCAACCCCCCTGCCTAGCAGGGCCACCAAACACACACATTCAGATCAGGTTGCCCAGGACCCTGTCCAACCTGGCCTTAAACACATCCAAGGACGGGGCATCCACAACCTCCCTGGGCAGCCCGTTCCAGGGCCTAACCACTCTCCTTGTATAGAACTTCCCCCTAACATCCAACCTAAATCTTCCCTCCTTCAACTTGGATCCATTTCCCCTAGTCCTGCTGTTGTCAGCCCTTTTGAAGAGTTTACTCCCCTCGTGGGTGTAGGTTCCCTTCAGGTATTGATAGGCTGCAATGAGGTCACCCCGCAGCCTTCTCTTCTCCAGGCTGAACAAGCCCAACTCCCTCAGCCTGTCCTCATAGGGGAGGTGCTCCAGCCCCCTGATCATCTTAGTCGCCCTCCTCTGGACCCTTTCCAAAATCTCAATGTCTTTCTTGTACTGAGGGCTCCACACCTGGACACAGTACTCCAGATGGGGCCTCACAAGAGCCGAGTAGAGAGGGACGATCACCTCCCTGTCCCTGCTGACCACCCCTCTCCTGATGGAGCCCAGGATCCCATTTGCCTTTCGAGCTGCCAGAGCGCACTGCTGGCTCATGTTCAGTCTCTCGTCCATCAGGACCCCCAGGTCCTTCTCTGCCGAGCTGCTCTCAAGGACCGCTCCTCCCAGCCTGTACGGGTGCCTGGGGTTCTTCCGGCCCAAATGCAAAACCTTGCACTTTGCCGTGTTGAACCTCATTAGGTTCACCCGAGCCCAGCCCTCCAGCCTGTCGAGGTCCCTCTGAATGGCATCCCTTCCTTCCACCGTATCAACCGCACCACTCAGCTTGGTGTCGTCAGCAAACTTGCTGAGGGTGCACTCAATTCCCTCATCGATGTCATTAATAAAGATGTTAAAGAGCACCGGTCCCAAGACAGACCCTTGGGGGACACCACTTGTTACCGGCCTCCACCTGGACATAGAGCCATTGACCACCACCCTCTGTCTGCGGCCTTTCAACCAGTTTCTTACCCATCGGGTCGTCCACCCATCAAATCCACTTCCCTCCAATTTGGAGATGAGGATGTGGTGGGGGACCATGTCAAAGGCCTTGCTCAAACTTCTTATCAGTTTAACAATCAACATTAAAAAAAAAAAAAAGCCCTCTAGCTTTAGACAGAATTATTTCAAACTCATTTGAAATATGAACAATGGCTTAACATTTAACTGCTCCCAAAAAATTAACTGCCAGACTGAAAGAGGAATAAATGCTTAATTCTGAATAGAGAAACAGGCACCTGGTCTGACCACCACATAGGAGAAGTTTAATTCTGAACCTCATCAGTCAATTAAAAATGTCTACCTTTACCATAGCTTCATTTTCATAAAGACATGACAGAGGTGATACTCTGACAGAGAATCTAATGTGGCTGCAGAGAAACTCTTTCACAAAAGGGAAAAAAATTATAAAACGCCAGAAATCCCAAAGACACAGTTTCTTCTAGCTTGAATGTGTCAGCCACTAAACAATGCCACATTAGCTGCGTGCATGCCAGCTGAGATCTGCTTCTGAGCTCTCCTGCTCACGGAGATATTTACAGCAAATGATGAGGCCCATCCTTCAACATTCTCCTGAGTAAAATAAAAACTCTGATATTAGCTCTGTTATTCTACAATAATCTACTTTTTTTTTCTTAACAAAGGTTTGCTTAAGTGCTTATTTTCAGAAGTAAGCTTATCCTAGTAATGATTTCATCAATGCTACACAATTTATGCAACATGATCCCTTCATCCACAGTTCATTCTGTGTGCAAGAGCTAAGACACTAGCCTATAGTGCCTTCGGAGACAACACTACCTAACAGAATACGTAAGTCAAGCTAAATCTAAAATTCAAGAATTTGGCACATGCTAGAACACTTCAGACAAGAAAAATATGAAATAAACTATGCCAGTAAAAGGTTTTATGTATAAAAGTTGATACTGCTAAGGAGAACTTGTTGGTACTGGGAATACCTCAGGTAACTCATTTTTCCATTGAAACTCTCAAATCTAATCCTTGTTTTTGTTCAGTCAAAAAAAATATTCTATGATTTCATGATTTTACTCTGATTCACAAGCACAGGAGACCAAGTCTTCTTGACAAATTACAAAACCCACAGGGACCACTTCCAAATCTATTCAAAAACTGCACTCTTGGGTGTAAAATAACAGCAAATGAGTGTGGGTGACAGGATCTTTTGCCTAGGGCACACAGAGATAGCTAAACAGAAGGATTCGTATCTAAGATAGCAGAAGGCAATTCAAGTGGTATGACAAACAGGAGCTGTTTCCCAAAAAGATGATAGAGAGACATCATGTCATTTAAATGGAAATTTGATGGCAGGATTGCCATCAAGTCACTTGAGAAATGATTCTATGCAGACCACAATGACAGAAACAAGGAAAGACATGCATGTTTTCTATCTAGTACAGGAACAGCTAAGCCTACAGTTAAGGTGACTGCAGTGGAATTGTTTAACCCAGGGAACTCAGGTGCAAGCAATGCACCTCAGTGATCAGAAGCTTGTACCCACCTCTTCCTCATCCTCATTTAAGGTTTAGCAGTGGAGGATGCAGCATCTCTCCGGATGGAGAATGCACCCCTTGAGCCACTGCCAGACATCAGAAGGGGTTAACCAATTTTCCTTCTTTATTACGCATTACTGCTCTGTAATACCTGTATCCCACTTAAAGGCACTTTCAAGAATTTCTTTTGCCATACAGGTGACCAATCTGGAAAATCTACAAGATTACTGTTCATGATAACACGAATACACAACATCAAACTATTTTTCACTGCAAGTAGAAAGGGTAGAAAGTGACATTTCCCACACCTCCATGGCTCAGACACAGGGTTTGAGTTCTGGGTGATTCTGTATGGGGCCACAAGAAGGACTAGTGGGTCTCTTCCAGCTCAAGATATTTCGCTCTGTTCTGAATCCATTCTCATCCTCTCTATTATGTCTATCAGAAATGAGCAAGGCAGAATATACTAGAAACAGAGCAACAATAAACATCCTATAGTAGTGTGGTGCAGTAGAAAAGCTGCAAACTATTTTGGGGGGAAGTGTGTCTTTCAGAATAGTCATGAACTGTGGAAGGTACGCTTAGGAACACAATAAACTTTTAAGAACCATTCACAGTTTGCTTGGTAAATCTGCTACACACAAAGCAATAACAGCAAATAATACTTTACTATATAAAAAAATACAGAAGCTGTTTATGAAAGTAGCCTTAGTCACTTGTCCAATGCTTGCAGAGAAAAGCAGAGAAGCACCCTTTCTTGTCTACATTAAATGCGAAAATTGTCCAGAAAAGTCTGCATATCGAATCTTTCAATGAAGAACAGAACAGCCAATGAAGTATTCTTCAGCCTGGTATAAAACAAAGTGCTTGCAATCCCATTAAAGAAAAGGTTGAGAATCACCTCATACCCATGAAAATAAACATTCACCCAGTATGAGCAAGATAATATTTCGCAAAGGCATAATTATCAGTTTGGTTTTCAACAAACTTGTAGCTAAATCAGCACCTGAGCCTTTGATAGCGTTCAGAAAACTAAACCGCACAGTGCACATGCAGATTTCATCAACATCAAGGGTGTAATTTTTTTTTTTAATTACTGCTAAGATTAATGTCAATATTAATGAGTTTCTACTGAGTGATAAATGATGATAACGTTTTTGATGAGAGGCAACTTCATTCTGAGACATGCTAGGTAATGTCAGTCTTGATGGGCTGTCTGAATGAATTACACTTCAATAAAGCTTTTTTCAAACACTCAGTGGCATAAATCATCACCATAAAATACAGATATGCTCATGTAAAATGATATGCTCATATAAAATTTTAACTGAAGGGATCCAGATTCTGATTTGAATTCTGGAGCTGAGGATCTGTTCACAGCCTATTTCCCTCTTGCTCAGGTTCAAAAGCCCATCCTTCCATGTTAGGCATATCTTTCACAAGAACTGTTTCTAGTTACACACATTACGATGAAGACATTCCAACATTTTGCAAATGTGCAATATCAGCAAACATAGAAACCTCAAAGGGAATCTTAAGGGCTGTTGAGACTGTTTCAGTTAACAACAAAATTCCTGCAACAGCTTCTTAACGCTGAGTAAGAATCACAGAATCACTAAGGTTGGAAAAGACCTGTAAGTTCATTTAGTCCAACTGTCCACCTATTGCCAATATCACCCACTGGTCGCTCCCATAGCCATCCAGCTGTCACAGAATCACAGAATGTCAGGGATTGGAAGAGACCTCAAAAGATCATCTAGTCCAATCCCCCTGTGGGAGAGGGAGCAGCAACACCCAGATTAGGTCACACAGGAACGTTCTGTATGTCTCCAGAGAAGGAGACCCCACAATCTTTCTGGGCAGCCTGTTCCAGTGTTCTGTCACCCTTACTATGAAGAAGTTTTTTCTTTTTCTCATTTATGTGGAACCTCCTACATTCCAGCCTGCACCCATTGCCCCTGTCCTATCACTAGATGTCACTGAGAAGAGCCTGGCTCCATCCTCCCGACGCTCACCCGTTACATCTTTATAAACATTAATGAGGTCACCCCCTCAGCCTCCTCCAAGCTAAAGAGAACCAGCTCTTGAGTAGAGGGGGAGGAGAACCTCTCTCAACCTACTAACCACACTCCTTCGAATACATCCCAGGATGTCATCGGTCTTCTTGGCCACAAAGACAGTGTTGGCTCATGGTCATCCTGCTGTCTACCAGGACCCCCAGGTCCCTTTCCCCTACGCTGCTCTCCAACAGGTCAGTTCCCAACATATACTGGTATCTGGAGTTGCTCCTGCCCAGATGCAAGGCTCTACACTTGTCCTTGTTATACTTCATTAAATTTCCAGCCCCCTCCTTTCCCGACCAGCTCTCCAGCCTAAGTTATGCTGGATAGCAGCATAGCCTTCTGGTGTGTCAGCCACTCCTCCCAGTTTTGTGTCATCAGCAAACTTGCTGACAGTACACTTTATTCCCTCATCCAAGCCAGTGATGAATATATTGAATAGTACTGATCCAAGTAGCAACCCTTGAGGGACTCCACTAGATACAGGCCCCCAAAAGCTGTCTCACTGATCCCAACTGTCTGCCTTCTTTCCTTCAGCCAGTTCACAGCCCACCTCAATATTACACCCATTACACAATGTGACACTCTGTACGTCCCTACACATCCCTACATTATGAAGTGTGTTAAACAGTCTACTTTGCTTTATAAAGATATTCAGTTCAAGTCCTTGAGAAACAGAAACATTTTTATTACATAAAGTCACAGAGTTTGGAGTTTACCTTCTCAAGTTCCAACATGTACGTTCCTGTAATTTTAAATTAATCCCCTGGACTTTAATGCAACAAATACAATGCAAGCACTTAAGCGGATTACCTAGAGGACAGCACTACTAAAATTCCCACACAAAAGTACCTTTGGCATATTCGACAGCGTGGAAAGTTTCTCATCTCTCTTGATTCTGATTGAAAAAGTAGCTTTAAGTGCTGGTTCATCAAAGCATGGAAAAGCAGACCTTGCAGCAAGAGGCTCAAACTGAGTTGCAGCAAACCACCTAGTGAAAAGAGTAAAGAAAAGCAAATTAAGAATTATGAAAAGGAGTAAGGCTACTTAATTACGATTGAACACTGTCACTTTTCCTCTGACATGCCGAATCAAACTCTGTAACCCACGTAAGATTACAAAGAAGGTATGGTTTATGCAATAGTGCACACATGCTGGGTGCAGTGGGGATTAGATCAACCTAACTTGCACACTGTCAGGAAAAAAATATGCTACAGATATAGGCTGAACTAATACATAATCAATAGTTTTCCCGGAATTCGGATACATATTCATTACACCCTGTTGCATTGCCTACTACACACCCCCAACAGTTCATTAGCACACAGACCCTCCCCTCTTGCGCATACGTAGTGGGTCATTATGGTCTCCTTCTGGTGGTCGTGGAATAATCCTCATCTTCCTTGCTATAAACTTCTGAGCCTTCAGGGGGGCATCCCCTCAAACCGGTTTCTTCTTGCCCTGTGGACATCTAATCACCTCCTTGCCAAATGTCCCTGATTCTCAAACCTTATCTGTATGGCCTTCATCCCCCTCACTATCCCAGACCCAGTGTCTGCCATCCCTTATTTTCTAACAAGCTCTACATTCTTGCTTCTATAAACTAACTATTCCCCTTCACCCCCCTTATTCTCAGTCACTGTGAAGCCTTCTTGCCTTTTGACCTTCACTTAGGGGCCCTTGTCACCTTTCACCTCCACAACCTTTGTACCTGTTTGCCATAGAAGAAGCTTTCCAATCTATACGTGACATGGTTAGTCCAGCTACAAATAATTTCCTTGAGATTATGAAGAAAAGAGTTCTTTAAAACCAAAGATACAAATTTATTGGAGGACTAATCTCCTTGGTTGTTTTTTTGTTTTCTTATCCTATACCCAGAGTAACATAACTACAGAATAATTACCAAAATATGTCAGACAATTTCCAGTAAGAGTGAATTAAACATAAAAAATCTGAAAAATTAAATTAGTGATCGCGCACACTACACGAAAGTTTTGAAACCTCAGCAGCAGACAGGACTGCAGCAAAGCTCTTCTATCTGAATGTTACACATTTGCCACCAGACACTCCCACAACTCTTCTGTCTTCCCGCTCCCTTCCCTGACTACTGGACGCTGTGTAAATTCATGCACTGTCTTGTCTGTAATACGTGTCTCATCATGTGAGAAACTCTCAATGGACTATGTTCATTCTCAAGCATTTTTATATTAACTAGCTACAGAAATTAAAACTTTTACTAGAGAGTATCTCTTATTGAATTCTCTTCCTGCAGACAAGAGCATAAATAGACCTCAACAATGTGTCTTCCATTTACCAGAGATGAACAGAGGGGAGAACAGTGTTTTCAACTGCGTTTTTTTTTTTTTCTTCCTACTTAAAGCCTTCTACCAACTTCCCTCAAATTCTGAGAGTTAAGTTTTCTTCTTCCCTACAACTCCAAGACTGCGGACCTACCCTTTCCTAAGGAGGCATGTTGCTGTCATAAGACTTCTCTCTATGCCTGCTCTCAACTTCTTACTCCCACGCCCTAAGATTCAGGCACAGCAGCACTTCCCCAAGAAGCAACAGATTCTATTCTCTGTAATCATCACACATCACACATACACTGTTATGCTCTAGCGCAAGCTCAGGAGCAGTGCTTTGTTAAGACACTTATTGATAGCATGTTACATTTGCACCTCAGAAAAACATCTTCATCAGACAGGAGGAAACTCAAAACAGGTCTGTAATCCTTCTGCCTACATTTCCATTCTTCAAATTCTTGATCTCTTCAAAGTCTCCAAGAGAACATCAAGCGAGGAACAGTAGGAACACACAGGAGGGAGGAGGAGAGTTTCTCCCTCACCTCAGATGCCAATCAATTCAAGAACTCAGTCATGTTTCACAATTCCTGTACTTGCAACAGTTTTGCATGTACTTGAAAATCCAACTGCTGAAGACAATCTATTTTCTTGTACATTTTAGCAGTAAATCGTAGCCCTGCTGTGATCTAGCTAAGGGGAGTTTAATCAGCAAACTGTAAGTAAACTTCTGAAAAAATAAATAAGCTTTGATTTAAATGTCAGCGCTTAGAAATGCCAGACGGATCTGAAAGAAAGTACACTGTTTTTATTTATTTAAAAAATAAAAAGAAATAAATATTCCTTATGTTCCAATGAAATCTTCTTCACACTGAGACATTTTATTATTTATGAAACATGAGAAATCCCTGAGAGACTTCAGTAATTCAACATTAGCAGCATACATATATTATGTGTATCTCACTGGAAATATTTTAACTAAATTCTAACACTTTTCTGCTGTAGTCTTCAAGGAGTCTCATTCAAGAAGATATTAACAGCTAACAGGTTTTATTTGAAGTCAGTGAAAATAAGTTCTCTTTTTTTAAACTTCAAGTCTTGGCATTTTTTAGCATAAGCTGCTAGGGGCTTCATATCTTTATTTTATCTAACAGCTGTTTTATAGGTTCTTTACAACAACTTTCCTGTCAACAGAGTGAACTGACCTATACTGCTCTGCTTCCAGAAAACCTGCATGGATTACACTGTGCTAACAAAGGCATGAATGATCTTAAGTACACAATAAGCATAAGTAGCATTTGAAATGGGTGGTTTGCACAGCTACATTCTCTAATCTTCTTGGTAAAAAGCACTCATTCCCCGTAACAGTGGTCCTGTCAACTAGCCAAATACACTTTGAAAGAAAGAAACTAAAAATCAAACAAAAAGCCATGCTAGAGTGCCATGTGGAGCTCGCAGGGAGCCACAATGAACTGAGGAAGAAGCTGCCCTGATTTAATGAACTCACCCATGAAAGACAGTTTTCAGAGTGCTGATTTTAATCACTGTTAAAATCTATCTCCCGAGCAGTTTTTCATGAAGTGACAACACAAGAAAGAAATCTGATATTTCAGAAAAAAATCTCTAGATTTACAACATCATAGATTTTTCATTTTATTCAGTAGGAACCAGCTGCACAAAACATCCAACAGAAAGAGTTAGTCTTATTAATTCTATCAAAGCACGATCTAAAAGTAACATAAGAGAAAAGGAGGATTTGGGTACCTACTTTTGCTTAGAATTCTCATCCTTGTAAGAAATTTTGTAAAAGCCATAGTATGTATCTGATAAATTAGATGAATATTCCAAGTTGACTGTGTAATTCTGTCCTGCAAGGAGAGACTCAGGAGCTATGACTGCAATCTGATCATGCAACGGATATTCCAGCAACTCAACTGCCTTTTCTTGACTTCCTCCTGATGAAGTAATAGTTGCCTTGGTGATATTTAGTCCTGAGCTGTGAAGCACAATCTTCTTAGTTACTTGGGTGACATTAACCACTATTTTCACAGAGCCTGTAAATTTCAAGGTAGTTAGGTTTGGCTGCAAGTCGAGATCATAATGCAGGGGTACAATATCAGAAGGAAGTCTTATTTTTGCCCATGGAAACAGCTTTCCATTGGTTGCCAAAGGGTATATCAGTTCCATTGTACGATTTTTTTTATGGCAGCCTTCTTTGGTAAAGGTACATTTGGGAAGAAGATAAATCACCATTATCACTGAAACTGCAATCACAAGAACACCAGTGCAAACCAGCACGGTCCTCATAGAGGGCACTGAGCAAGAACCATCTGGACTTTGTCTATAGACAGACATGTTATTGCGGAGACCCGAGCTTCTGTTAATGAAGGACATCCCCAGCAGTTTAGCTGATGACTCATAATCCTCTTCATCATCATCCATTTCATGCTCCCCAAGGCCACGCACTAAGAGCCGCGAGCTTCTTGGTTCATACTCAACTTCATCAGGCTCCAGGGGGTGTAAACAGGGCTCTTTTGCCAAGTCAACCACATCAGGCTCTTCCTCAAACATACTGTTTTCAATCATGTTTCTGGGTAGCTGAATCTGATCTGAAAAAAAAAAAAACAAACAGAATATGCCACATCATAAACAAAAGACATAATACTTCAATGACAGATCACTGAGGTAAAGAATGGGAAAAGCTTTCACTACATATTCTATCATTTTACTTTCCTGATTTGTTTCCACTAAACATAGCCATGTTTTTCTGCCTACTGCAATTCTTGTTTCAGTACCTTGCCCCTTTCTGAACTTCAAGAAGACGTTTCTGTTGTGCATACTCAGTTGTATCTTGTATCATAACTGGGAATCAGCTACATCACTGAACTGTACTTCCAGCTCACTGATATCATTGCCTCAGTTGCATTATGTCTACCCAAATAATTCTCCCTGTATTCAGCTAACTTAGGAATTATGGAATAGTCTCTATGTTGCAGGGAGAAGAACAGGCAACCAGAACAGTTCTAATGGTGTTTCTAAGATTCTAGTTCCAGAGTTCCTGTTAGAGGAGAAGACTTGCTGCCATATTAGCAGCTACGTGAACAAAATACACATTTTACATTTTCAGAATTAAATTTTTTATACACACATAAAAAAACCGCTCAATTTCTTACACGGCAATGAGAAGACAACTGTTCAAATTGATCATTTACCGTCGAGCTTATGCAACCCTTGAAACTGTCCGGGCAGGTAAGAAGTTAAGTCAGAGCCAATAAGACAGCATCCATAATTTTTTTCCATAAGACTTAACCAGATCACAAAATACAAACCAAAAATTCAAACTGATTTCAAGTTTAACAGATTCCCTCATATTCCACATGTAGTTTTATTTTAAGCAAACTTCTGATTGCGTCTGTAAAAAATAATGTCATATAAAAAGTTATCTTTCAGTTAAGCCACCCTGTGAAAGTGGTGAAGTTAGAAACACCGATGGCAAGAAGCGCATACAGGTTATTGGACACAGAGACACAAAAATTGCTGTATCGGCAAGGAGGGTTTTTTTCGTAGTGTGTTTCATCTAGAACATTGCAACATAGAATGAAGTTGCCTGTTTTTCTTAGGGCACCACAGAGCTGTCTGAAGAACAAAACAATTCAACTGGGAAAAACATCTGTACAGAGATTTCTCATACAGGATATCCAAAAAAATCTCAGTAAATTTTCAGGCCCTTGCAATCTAGTCAGTATGAGATAGTCCCCTTTCACAGCCTCAGAGACTAAGAAAACTGTCAAACTGCAAGGCTTCACATATGAAGGTCTACTGCTAGTTGAATAATAATCACATCTCCATCCTCCATCTTGCTTTCAGAATGAGAAAGATGCTTCAATCTATAAACATATTAAAAAGTATTACTTTCTGTCAAGAATTGCTGATCTACATATAGCCAAAACATCAGCGTAGCTGCAATACATTATGGATTTGATGTATATTGCTAAGGTCCTGTTCAATATTTGCAGTTAACAACAGAACAGCTTGATTTGGAAGGGAATTTACTATGGGTAGGGCTACCACCCACCAGCTCAGGATACCCAGGGCCCCATTCAACTTGGTCTTGAATGCTTCCAGGAATGGGGCATTCACAGCTTTTCTGGGCAGCCTGCATCAGTGCTTCACCACACTCAGAGTAAAAAATTTCTCCTTACTACCAATCTCAATCTATCCTCTTACAGCTTAAAACCATTATCCCTTGTTCTGACACTGCAAGTGCTGGTAAAATGTCTCTCACTTTCTTTTAACACTCTTTTAGCACTGGGAGACTGCAGTGAAGTCTCCCCTGAGCCTCCTGCTCTGCAGGATGAACAACCCCAAATCTTTAAGCCTTTCTTCACAGGAGAGGTGATTCTTTTGTGACTCTTCATGGTTTTCTGCCACTTCTTTCAGAATTAAACTGACAAACTATTCAGATACCTTCAAAATAAATAACGCCTTCAGAAATGGACTGCCAAGGCCTTAAAGAAAAATTGAGGGGGGCTAGGGCTGTTGGGGGGAAAATACTAACTCGTGTAAATCAGTAAGAGAAAGGTGTACTGGTCAATTGAACAAACAATATGGAGACGGATGAAAGCAGGGAGTTTGCCCGAGTTCACACATACCTGCCCATAGTACGTCCCAGTGTAAATGTGCTGTGTTGTCTATGAGTAAGATCATAACGGCACAGGATATTTTGGAAGTGAACTCAGGAGGTAATCTGCTCTAGCCTCTAGGCAAAATATCTCATGGTACTTCTCATTAGAGTGCTAATGTTCAAGCCTTCAACATCTCAGTTCACTTCAGTGGTCCAACACCATTGTTTCTGTGCTGAAGTCTGTGTACTCACAGAGCACAGAAAGCTAGGCTGCAAGAGAGAACATGCAGACATATTTGTGGAGAAGAAAATGCGGACAGAAGAGCATTGTGCAGCGGAAGCTCTTTCAGAATTCTTCCACAATCTACTTCTAGCAGAGTTTCTTGTTGCTTTTTGAATCCACTGGCTATCTTCAACCAAATTTGAAAAGAGACGGAAGGATAACCAAATTCCTCTGAGTACCAACCCAACCCTGTCCCAAAACAGCCAGCTGCTATCAGAAGACACCCAAATTAATATCTGCTGTATACAAAAGGCAAGTATTAGGACTCACATCTTAACCACTCCCAAAGGTAGCAGCCACTCAGAGCACTGCTCCAACCTCAGCCTTGGCATATGCTGCTGCATTGCCATCTAGAGAAGTAGAAGACAGGGGAGGCACTGCAGAGGGAAGGAGGAGAAAGATAAAGAACTTCTGGCAAAGAGTTGGCCTCATTAGCTCTGCTTTTTAAAGAGCTTATTTTCCAACAGTTTCCCTCTAATGCCAACTACCTTAATATTTTCAAAGTTGCATGAAAGCACTAGTAAGCCTTGAAAAAAATGAAAAATCTGAATGAGAAATTAAGAAAAACTAGAAAAGCAAGGCAATTCACAGTTTCAACAGCTAAGATAATTTCTATGGAAAACAATAGTAAACCCAGTTTCAATTGATTTTTTTTGCAAAAATTCAGATCAAAGCCTGGATGTTGTGATGAACAATAAGCAGTGATGAAAAATGTTGCACTGAACTATCAGTTTGATCACAGGCTATGAGACGAGAGCTGTGATGAAGTAGGCAGACTACTAATCTCTACTTGAAAGCGTGCAAACAAAATATCAGAATATCAGAAGGTTACCAGAGTTACTTATGCTGACATACACATTCACAGTAGCATACAAGTCAGGCTACTTTTTTGAAGAGGAACCATGGCAAACATGCCACTCATGCTCAGTAAAACCCTGAATTCTGGTTCACTTGGATTTATAACAAAACAGTGTGAGTTATCATTTATCTTTCCTTTTAAACTCATGAGCTACTAAAAGGCCCACCAGAAGGACAAAAAATCTACAAGCCATAAGGAATAAGAAGCAGACCGAAGAAACCTACTGCAGCAAACTACTGCTTCCACACCAGAGGCTGCCGATGCACCATGGGCAGTGTGATCACTCTTAGTTCACAGCTAAGGAAGCACTGACCTGAGTTGCTTTAAAAATAAAGTTCTGTCTTCAGACACGGTGATTTGCAAGCTGCAGGCAAGCTTTACCAAACATAAGTTTAGTGTGAGAGCAAACAAGGAGGTTAAAAAAAGCCATGGGACTGGGCCTTATGCAGCTCCCTAGTTAGCACTAATGAAACAACACTCAACCTGCTTTCATAGTCACCCTCATCACAGCTGGAAGCCTAAACACAGGCAGGAAAAACTGAGTTTACAAGACTTTTCTGCAGATCTGTAACATGCAAAGTAGAGGTTGTTACCATCTTTCCCAGTACATGATCTGTATCACTTGCAAGAGAAAACAAGACGAATATTTATGGTTTAGAAGCAATTCTGAGAATAGATGCAACTTTAAAATTAAATGTGACAGATTAAAGAAAGCCAGAAAGCCAGTCTTCTGACACTGTAGAGATGAAGGAATGCAAGTATTTTTTCTAAAATGACTGTTTTCAAAAGTTTTTTAGTTTTGGAACTAAAAGTTTTAGGTACCTGAAAACCTTTCACAACCTTATCTCCTCATTACAATACTGACAGGATCACAACCTGTACATACACATATGCCTGGGTAAGCAATTCAGCTGTAGTTATAACAAGCCAACAATAAAGCTGCTGCATGTACTAGTACATCCTTCATAAATAAGAATCATGTACTCATACCTAGGTGAGAAGAAGTATAATGACTGGAGGACACAAAGAAGATTATTTAATCAGAACAAACTAAACAGAAGGTCCCTTATCTTAATCCTACAAGATATACATCTTTACTTCTATATCCTTTCATAAGCAACTCTTTCAACTTACAAGGTAACTTTACGTTACAAAGCTCTTTTGGATTTCCTGACCATAAGGAGACAATCAGGAGCAACAATAAAACTGTACAGCAGTTGCTGCAAGTATTTATTTTGTTGGAAAAGCTCCACTGCTATTAAAGAGAAGAACATAAGCTTTCCCCTGCAGTTTATAAGCCCCATACAGCAACACATAACAAATCTAATTATGAGTGACAGTGATATAGGAAGTTTTGGTTTTGTAATCCATTACAAATATCCTGTGGAAAATGAAAAGTCATTATTCCTGTAATTTTAAAAGTCACAATCTTCAAACAGCACTATCGATACATATTTATAATGCGAGAAGTGTGTATTTCTCCCTTAAAAAAAAACAACAACAACAAAACAAACAAAAAGAAAAACCAGTAACTTCTTTATTATCAGGCCTTGTGTCTAGCCCAGAACTGAAACCTCAATAATCTAAACTCTTATGTAAGTTTAAGTGGTTTATTCCCCCAGATTAATTCTCTTTTAAAATATACTCAGAAAATGTCTTGTGGCATTTTTCTCTGTTTTCAGTTTTCTGTATCCTCATTAAGTACTGCCAAAAAAAATAAATAAAAAACAATCCCTAAATCCAAGGATCCCTAATGGCACAGTCAGAACAACTGTCACTGCTTTTTGAGACAGTTCAGCTCATAATCATCTTCAATCAACAAGCAGGTGTCGGCACTTTGCAG